GTTCAAGGAGAATTAAAGATGCCCATGTGATTGCTACATGAACATTTGTAGTGGATTCTTTTGGTTGTTGTCATCAATATATTTGGCACAGAAGTTTAGTGACATTTTACATGCTTGATTTTACATTTGATTTCCATCTGACATTTGTTAACATCTGGCAGTGACAATCTTCTGAGTCTGCTGGTTGACAGGAGGCCTAGCCCAAATACTTTTAGCTTACCAGGATGGGGAAATGAATGGCTGCATTCACATTGTAGTAGTTACTTTGGCAATACACAAAGACCAATTCAAATAGCAAGTTTTATATTAAAAGATACAAATGACACTTTATCTAGACAGACTTGAGAGAACAATGCCTCCCCATTGCTGGTGACATTTGATGTCATGATCTTGAACAATCTATGCAAAGGAAGGAAAATAGCACATGGCGGGTTCTATAGATGTTAGTGTAAAAAGCTTCTGGGGATGAACTACACAACCTAATTCCAAACATAGACCTTGTTGATTTCCATGATTCTTTGGTGAAAGGAAAACACATGATAGCCTTTCTTATTAAGCAGTATATTTATGATCAGTGTCTGAGAATAGGCCGACCATGGAACCAATACCTCCAAGAGGTATTTGTATGTGTCACTGTGATCATTTCCCCTTATCACACAAAGGTTTCATGGTGATTGTCTGTCCTAAAATATAACAGGTTAAGTATGCAGTTATTGCTATCTGCTATATTATCTCATGTTTAAGAAGTCAGAGATTGCCAACTATCAAGCTGGGTATTAGTGGCACACGCCTTCAATCCCAGCACTGGGGAGGCAGAGGCAGGTGGTTTCTCTGTGAGTTCGAGGCCAGCCTAGTCTACAGAGTGAGTTCCAGGACAATACAGAGAAACCCTGTCTCGAGAAAACAAACAAACAAAAAAGTCGGAGATGCCCAACAGGGCTGGAAACAGGCTTTGACTATGGTCTCTCTTTCTTACCAGCCACCAATAGTCTACATGAGTTACTATTTCTACTTCAGAACTTGGGCAAACACAAATATGTACAATTAAAAATTCAGCATCCACTAAAAATACCTCCCTTAAAATGATCCCCAGAGAGAGAAAAACCCTAAAGGCCTATATACATTTAACAACTTTTTAATGTACCACACATTATCCTTCGATTGCAAAGGAGGGGCTGATCTACATTTATGTCATGACTGAATTTTTTCAGTAGGTTGTTTCTTTGAGGTATTTAAGTGAATCATCAATAAAAGACAGCTGTTAAACAATTTAAAATAAAACTATAAGCACATTATTCTACAAAATAAAACCATTAAAAGCAATCTTTATGAGGTAAATAGGTAAGGTAATGGGTGTCACGTAATGTTGAAATTGTCAAAACCTTGAAGAGGAACGTTAAATGCATAAGTCATTTTCCCAGTCTGGTTGGGTGTGTGGTTTTATAAGTGAAGCTTTCTTGAAGCCCTTCTCATGTACATTTGCTGTAGTGACAAGGTAAGTAAATGCAACAGAGACTGAGTAGTCTTCAAAAAGTTAAATATTAGCTATCTGTAAACATACAGACTACTACTGCTGACTTCTGTAGAATCTACAATGTCCTGACCCTGCTCTTCCAAAAAGACAATACCTTAACAGGTAAAATGAAAATATTCTCTGTGTGTGCATATGTCTGTGCAAGCATGCAGGTGTGTATGTATACATGTGGATGAGCATGTGGAGGTCAGAGGTCAACCTTGAATGTCATTTCCCAGGAGGCATACACCTTATTTTGAGATAGAGGCTAATTGCCCTAGAACTGTCTAAGGAAACTAGAGCATCTGGCTGGCAAGCCCCTGATTCCCAGCATGGAATTACAAGCACAGACCACCTCACCTGATTTTTTCGCATGGCTTCTTGGGATCAACAAATCCTCATGCTTGTGTTGGCAAGCACATTACTAAGGTATTTCCAAACTTCCTAAAAATAGTCTTTGGCATTGGCCAAGCCAACTGGAATTGAAGAACTGTAGAATACAGGCATAACACTGTAAGATTTGAACAAATTTATAATTAGTAATTATAGTCAATAGCCCAGGTTCTGGGACCTAGTTTGCACACATTATTTCCCATTACCCCTAGGTAACTTATGGGGCACATCTGTCTTACAGGCATGAAAGCAGAAGCCAACTTGATTGAAGGTGACTGTCATGTACTGGATGTATATGTCCTAAAACTCATGCATTGAAGCCCTCACTCCCAATGTGATGTTTGGATACAGAGCTTTAAATACTTGTTGGCTGAGGTCACAGGGTAGAGAGCTCACAATCGAGTCAATGCTCTTGTGAGCAGAGATAAGATGGCTTGTTCTCTTTTCACTTTCTCTTCTCCCACTCCCCCTCTCTTCCCTAAGCAGGGAAATAGCAGGCTGTCTGTGAGTCAGGAAGAGCCTCCTGCAATGTTGACACCTTAACCTCACGCTTCAGTCACCAAGCTATAACACTTTCTTATGGCAGCCACGGCACAACACAAGCACCCAGTTCTATTCAGAGCCACAGTCTGGATTCCAGGTGTTACCTGTCTGTGTTTTAAAGCTCATTAGAGCATCTTGTGTCAGCAATACTAAGTAGTAAGGCAGACCACAAGTATCTCCAATGTACTCTGAAACCCTGCCTTAATAAAATGCTAATATAAAAGAGTACGTCTAAAGACTTCCCATTTAAAATGAAGGAGTAAAGGCATTTCTGACACCAACTTAAAAATGAGGGACAAGAAGCCCAGTAAAATAGAAGACTCAACCTGATCAATGAAGTAGGGCACCACCTGCAATGAAGTTTGATTTATATCAAGGGAGAACATTGAAAACAGATGAAAAAAAGCTGTTGTCAAGTAGTCCATGATTTATGTATCTGCTAATTTGTTTTTCTTCGAGCTGAATCTTCTAAGAGGATCATTTCCCCATGATCCAATCAATCGAGCACAGCGGTACACTGAGCTTATTTAAACTGACATGAATGCCATTGAAACTACACAGAAAATAAGGGGTCTTACTTACCAACTTGTCATAACCCTCTCCCACATACAACACTTCCTAACCTTCCTCTCCTACAAACACACCCTGCTTCTTTGTCTCCGACTTTACTTTATAAAGAACAATAACTGGTGTGGATAGACAGCTTCTCTCATGCTGCTTTATAAAATGTTTATTGCTTTTTAAGCTCTCCATGCTTCCAAATGCCCAACACTTTTTCCAAAAGGACTGTTCGGTGTTTGATACTAGAAATGTTTAATTGAACTGTTGCTTGTGTGTTTCTATATATGTAGGGTGAGTAGGGATGGGATGTGCACACACATATGTGTACACGTAGAAGCCAGAGAAGACCTTGGGTAATCTGCCTTATTCTCTTCGATCAAGATCTCTCATTGAACCTAGTGAGCACCAAATCCCAGCTAGCTTCCTATCTCTATTCCCCACAACACTAGGATTACATGAGCATATAATCATATTGGGCATTTTATGTAAGTCCTGTGGATTTGAATGTAGGTCCTCAAACTCGTTTATTAGCTGCTCCTTCTCACTAAGCCATTATCACCAGCCCCAAGAAATACATTATAAAATTATTGGACATACATTAAAAGGTATATATGTTTCATGACTTTGACAAGTATGTATACCTTTGTAATGATATCCAGAACACCATATAGAACACATTCATCAGCCTATGAAGTTCCCTCGAGCTCCAACCATAGATATTTATCACTGTTCCCTGATGCCTACCTATACTACAGGCCAACAGTTGTTTTGCTCTAAAATTTCATAAAACTGAAGCCATTAAGGATGCTTTTGTTTCTCACTTGTTTAGTTCAGTATCTTTATAATATTCATCTACATGTTTATGTTGCATGCATAAGCAGATTGTTTTATCATATAAACAACACATAACTTGTTTATCCTTTCTCCTCTAGGTGACTGTCTAGGTTATATCCAGATTTGGGCTGCTATGAATATTCTTGTGAGTCTTCTTGTGAAATTATGCATTCATTTGGGGTGAGAGAACATAGGATTGAAATTACAAGGTCTTGAGGAAGCAATTGTTCCATTTTGTTGAAAACTGGAAGAGAGATTTCCAAGGTCATTAGACTATAATTTCTATGTTTAAACATAATTTCTACAGTTTTTCATCCTTTTCCTTCTCTCACCAAAATCCACTTGTAATGCTGATGTATTACTCTATCCCACAAACCTTTGGGTTCATTCCCCCTGATGTGTTGTGTGTATTAAATAATTTGTATGATTTCAATGCCCAGCTTTGGGAAAGAAAGCTCACATTTCAGGTTCTGACTTTTTACTTTTGAGTCTAAGTCACCCAGAATACCCTTGAGCTTTGATTCTCCAGCCTCAACTTCCCAAATAGCTGACATTACAGACATGTGCTATCATTCCTAGTGTGTAATACAAAACATAAAGGAAGGTTTCCTGTTTCAGCTCCGACGTGAAAAAAGCCTGAAAGTCATTATGTCATCCTCACAACACATCCATAGCTGTTGAACAAATAGAAAATCAATACCTTCACTTCGGTCAATTGAAATGCGTTCACAGGGAAACCACCACCCTACAAGCCTGAAGAGAAATCAAATGTAGTAAGCAATAGCCAACATCAGCTCACCTACTAAGCACAAGCTGCTGTTGATATAGACTCAGAACACTAGATGGGTCATTTCAAAGAAGAGCTAGGCAGGAGTTCTCAACCTGTGAGTCACAAACCCTTTGGGGGTCATATATCAGACATCCTGCATAGCAGATATTTACATTACAATTCATAACAGTAGCAAAATTACAGTTAGGCAGTAGCAACGAAATAATTTTGTGGTTGGAGGTCACCAGAACATCAGAAACTGTATTAAAGGGTGACAGCATTAGAAAAGGTGAGAACCACTGAGCTAGAGGCAGAGTGTGGATTAGCTTTAAGAGTAAGAGACAGCTGGGGTCCAGCCTTCTGCAGCTTGACCTTAACTGGTTCTCACAGTAAAAACCTTTAAGAGATTCTTTCCAGCTGAAGGGCAAGATGGAGGTAGAATTCTTATTTCAGACTGGGGAAAGAAGAAAGTCACCACTTGGGTAGACCCAGATCACTCTAGCATGCTAAATAGACTCAGAGCACATCCTCGAATAGCCTAACTGTTCTAGCCAAATTACTTCACTGCCTTGCCTACTTGGTGGCTTTATTTTCCTGCTCCACCTAAGTGGTTTCAGGAGAGGCCAGGGTTTACTCTGGTGAAACAATCTGCTCCTGTGAACACACCTAGTTAAGAAAGGCAGACTATTCTGGGCTTATGTCCAATTACCTGCTTTCTTCTTCTCTCTACTGGCACATGGATTTCTTTCTCCTATGATTTTCAAGGTGAGAACTTGCAGGCCAGGAGATAGACACACACAGATGGAGACCCTCCCAATGATAGGCTCCTGGAGTTGCAACTTGGATTTGTCCCCACCGAGCCTCTAGCAAGTCCTCAATTATAATCAGGTTTTCTACAATGGTTCTAGTTCACGTAGAGGTTTGTGCTGTGATCTCAGTGCCAGTCTGCCCAATCTGGGGTACATACCAAATTCAACCTAGTCCCTTTACTACTGGTAGATTTAACAGGGATAGTTAGTTAATAGTCTGGTTGGCATTTTGTGTATTGATGACATACAGAGACAAATTCTAAGCTCCTTACACACTGGATCTGAAACCAGTGCTAAGAACCCTCCTAGCAAACCAGCTTTGATGGAGACTTGTTACAGCAGATTGGACTCCAGGGTACACCCAGTATAACTGCCACTAAGACAAAGATCACTAAAGATTTTAAAGCGTGAACAAAGGAAGCAAAGGGAGGCTGTGGAGAGTGAAAGGGAGGGGAAGGAACAGGACCTAAGTAGAAGGAGGGAAATGATAATTACAGAAAGCAGGTAAATGGACAGTTTCAAAAAATGATTGGCAAGATAATATGGTGCAGTGGACAACGTCACTGTTTGGCATTGTTTGCTTTCTTGAACAAAACTCAGCCTGGGATTACTTTTAGGACCAAGTGGCAGGTGGAAGACAGGCTAATATTGGATGAAAGCAAACTAAGTCAGTATTGAGAAAAGGTTTTGGTGTCATTTGACAGTTTGTATTTCATAACAGCATTAGGCTCATAATCTAAAGTGATAAGAGTACAATGATATTGTATCTACTATGTAGCAACCGTTGGCTTCAAACACATTGTGTAGACCAGGAAGACCTCATACTGACAAAGAAATGCCTGTTTTCTGCTTCCCAAGTACTGATATTAAAGATGTACAAAGTTCTTAATATTAATGACTGCTTAAGTTGCACAAATGTTTAATAAAACTGAATAAGAAAATATCCCTACCATATAGGAACATATAAATAACCATCTGACACCACGTTTAATACTTTTTTGAAATACTATATCATTTTGATATTTTTATATAATTGCATAATCTTCCTCTTACCTTTTCTCTCTACAAATCCTCCCACGAACTCCTTCCCCCACTCTCTTTCAAATTCCTAGTCTCACCAGTGAGAGGCCTGAATCCTAGCCTGGAAGCATCATCATCAGAAGGCCTGAGCTTCAAGTCCAGATCAGCATCAACGGAGCCACAAATCTCAGAACTGGAAGCAGTGTCAGAAGGAGGTTCCAGCCTCAAACCTGGGAGCAGCCTTGGAGAACCCGGAAGCAGCATTGGAGGTAGGTTTGAGCTACAAGACCTGAGCAACATCAGTGAGAAGTCCAAATCCCAGCCCAGAAGCAGCATCAGTGAGAGACCCGATACCTATCCTGGAAGCAGCATCAGAAGACCTGAGCTTCGGTCTGGAGCAGCATCAAGGGAACCATGAATCCTAGAACCACAAGCAATGTCAGAGGGAGGTCTCAGCCTCAAACCTGGGTGCAGTGTTGAAGGAGGAACATTCATAGGAAACCTGTTATACTTGTGCTTGAAGGAGTAGCCAAGGGAGCCACAGCCTACAACTATACCAATTGGAGAAATAAAAACCCCCTGAAGCACATGTTCCACCTATACCAATTAAAGGAAGAGATGTGTAGACAACAAGGTAAGAAGAACAGCAACACCTGAACAACCCAAAACAGATGAAGCACAAGAAAATGGCTTGAAAAATAACACTATGAGGATGATTGAGCCCCTAAAGAGGAAATGAAAAACTCTCTTAAAGAAATGAGGAAAAGACAAACAAAAAATTGGAAGATATCAACAAATCCCTTAAAGAAAACCAAGAAAAAAAGTAATCAAACAAATTCCTGGTCTGTTTTCATTAATTTTTATTACATTTGTAAACATATATATTCCTAAATATAACCCACTGTCTGTACAATTTAACACTTTGAAGTAAACTACTCCTTTGTGCCTATACTTCAAACACTCTGTGAAAACAATTGTCTTTCTGTTGGTTCCCATTTTAAGAGTTTAATTAAACTCTGTCACGAAAGAACCAATCTTTGTGTTTGAGAAATTTATGTTCATGGGCATCTAGGTTTTTTTCACATCCATTCCACCAAATATTTGGACATCTCTGCTTCAGCTAAACTCCCTTCTTTAGAAAACTATCACATACTGAGAAAAAGAAATCAATTTCTTGAAACAGTATTTCGGGAGTTCTCAGCCCTTTCCTGGCTCTGTTAATGTGAATTATGTACAACTCTTGCAGACTGAGTACTCCTTAGGTCTTACCTCCTGGTAAAATGCCCATGTTCAAAGCAACTAGAAGCATAACACGAAGACATTGTCATTGTAAATAGGAGATCTACTGAGCATTCACTTAGCCAACACTGGTCCAGAATTGTTCCTTGGAAAGTCTTAGGCCAGAATCACTTGGAAATTCAGAAAAGTTCACAGTTATGTGGGCTGACACATGGCTCAGTCAGAAGGCAGGTACCTGCAGGCAGGAAGACCTGAGTTCAGTCTTCAGAAGCCACATGACAAAGACAGGTGCAACGACCCATTTGGAATTCCTGCACCAGGAAAGCAGAAGCAGGTGATATCTGAGAATTGCTGGCCAGCCAGGGGAGCCTACTCTCATTACCAATCACAGACCCTACTATAAAAATTAATCCTGGTGTGTGGCACCTGTGGAATGACACCTGAGATTGTCCATTGGTCCCCACATGCACACTCACATGTGTATGGTTACTTGCACACACATGGGCCTGCACACATACATACAAGAAGGAAGTAACATGTTCAGTGTACCTTATGTAATACCCACATTGGCATCTGGAATCACTCCACATATGAAGTACATTAACATTTTTACAACGAAATACATGACCACTTACATCAAACAATACTGTGTTAGATTGAAACCATACATGCATGTAATCCAACTTCACGTCAGTTTACGTTAGATTTTGCATAAGCATTCACCTTAAGTTCTCAGAATTGTATGTAAGCGATGGGGAGCCTGTGTTGCCATGTGCTATTTTCATTTCTGAACTAAGATCTTTCAACACGAATGGAAACCCATGTCAAACTGATGCCGAATAGTAGAATGGGACTGGATGTTATCCCTAATAATTTATAACAAGACTACATAGTCATCTCTTTCAAATTCATCTTGACTGGTATCTAATACCTGGTAACATTATTTCCTTCAGGGCTGTGTAGTCTACAGATGTGCATACTGTCTAGTTGGGTTTTAGGCAGACTTGCTTCAAATCCCCTGTAATTGTCTGCATGCTCATGCATGACAACCTCTTGCTCCTATGCTCTTCCAAGCACAGTCTGTCAAATTCCTCTGTGGCGCGCTCCCTCCTAGGCTGATATTTTGACAAGTATCCGATATGCTATACCTCTTGAAATCCATTTCTTATTGAGCAAAGGAGTTAGAGTGACCATAGGTCTTATGTACCTCCTCTAATATCCCTCTCATGTCACTTCTGGGGGTTTTCTATGACAGGAAGTTTAAGAAGCATTGTGCTATGTGACAGCTCTCCTCTCAACCCCTCAAAGGCTACTTTTAAATTAGTTCAAAAGTAATTTTGCTTTCATTTTTTTCTGCCAGAAGACTTCCTTTCCAATCAAGCTTTATCTATGCGTTTATCACTGTCAGAAAAGATGAATGGCAAAATTATCACATGGGAGACGATTAGGCTTCAGTGTTTTAATACTTTTACAATCATAGTCTATTCTTCTTCATGGGTGCTTCAATGAAGACAGTGAGAAGCAGCAGTGTAACTCTGCCTTAGTTTAAATGCTGTGATGACCTTGAAGAAGTTATATTCCTGTGTTATCATAGAGAGCTTCATCCAGCTCATCAGGAAAATAATTTTAAATCATTCCCTCGAGGACTAATTATATTTTTTATTTTTTATAATTTCATACATGTATGCAATGTAATAGAATTACATTTACATACACACATGAACACACACACACAACCTTCTCATCTCCACTCTCTCCCTCAGAATCCTTTTCTTCCATGCCTCTTTTTTTTTTTTTTTTTTTTTTTTTGGTATTTACGAGACAGGGTTTCTCTGTATTGTTTTGGAGGCTGTCGGTCCAGCCTGGCCTCGAACTCACAAAGATCTGCCTGCCTCTACCTCCCGAGTGCTGGGATTAAAAGCGTGTGCTACCAACGCCCGGCCATACCTCTTTTTTTTTAATCCAGTGAACTTGTATATGCATGAGTAGCGGCTATTTACTACATCGAGAATAATTCACCAGTGTTCACACCACTGAAAAAAATAGTCACTCCCTCCCATAGTAACCATAGTTGCCGGTAGTTGCTGATGATAGGGTAAGAGCTTCTGGGTACCTCCCTGATTCATATTGCTCAGCTTTGTCACAGCCCACAGACAGTGTAGCACTACCCATTTAAGAAACAATGCATGTTTGCTTCACAGCATACAACTAGGGAGTGGTAGTTCCCAGGGTTGCGAAATCCAGCTGTTAGGAGCACTGTCATACTGGTACTCAAAACTCATCCACAAGGGTATGAAGCAAAAGCCAAAAATTACTTGAACTGCATCTCTCGATGGCTGCCTTTGAATCATCAAAGCATCTATAAATAAGCTGTCACCCATGTTCCTATAAGGAACCCCTAGAAAATGTGTTGCTTCACCAAAGTAGACCTGTGTGGAATTATCTCCTTTGGTTCTTGCTGCTCTATCTGGAATGACTAGATGTGTGTTTGTCTCTTCCTAGAATAAGTCACATAACAGGTGATTGACAGAGGAGAGGGGTTGGGACCACAGAGGAAGAGAAGTCAAGTAACTAAATGATTGGACAAGCCAATGAGTAAGCCCCAGCCATAGCTCAGTCTGCAAAATATCAACAATTCCTTACCAGGGGGTGTCATCCTCCATATGGAAGCTGTATGCAAACAAGCACCATTTTGACTTGTATTTGCTCCTTGGATGTGTGGTGTTCTGCTGTTTGTGGACTCTGGTAAGGCACAACATCATAGCAGGAAGCAGCCATGGGTATAGCAAAGCTGCTCTTGAGGATGGTATTAGACTGGTCCCATTACCCCCTTCAAGAGCATATCCCCAGTGACCTACTTTGCTCCAGTTAGGCCCCACATCTTTGAGATTTTACCACAAGCTGGGCACCAAGACTTCAACACCTTAACTTTGTGAAAATCTTAGGATGCAAACCATAACAGATACAACTGATTTATATACAGAAGTCTTTTTTACTATTTCTTTTTGAGCTTATAATTATATCATTTCCCCTTTCCTTCCTCCAAACCCTTCCATATACCACTCCTTTCTCCTTTTCAAATTCAAGGTCTCTATTTTTATTAAATAAACAAGTACAAGCCGCCCAGCCTGTATAATGTTATTTGTATGTATGTATGTTTTCAGGGCTGATAATTTGGTATTAGATAACCAACTGGTGCACTCTTACCTAGGCAAGATAATTTCTCCCACACTCAGAACTTCTTAATCACCTGTAGTTTTGTGGGGGTCTAGGCTTCCTGGGTTTTCCACATGAGCATGTCTATTTTCATTGTCCTTGTTCAGCTTTTGTTGAATAGTCAAGTTGGTAAAACTTGGTGGGTGTGGCTTCTAAGATTCCTAGAAGACACAGTCTCACAGCAAACTTGCTGACCCTCTAGCTCTTACTGTCTGTCTGCCCCCTCTTCCACAGCATCCCTGAGCCTTAGGCAGTGAAGCTGCACTACACACGTAACGACCTACACTGAGTTCCACAATTCTGCATTTTGACTGCTTATAGTTTAAAAATCAAGACAGTGGAACTTCCCACACTGCTTTCTACTTACATATTCCAGCCTGTATCTAAATCCATGCTCAGAGACAAGTTAATAGCTGAGTTATGCTCACTCAGCTCAGCCTGTGATTGCTAAGACTGCCAATAACGTCGCCATTGTAATAGAAATTTGGGCAGTGAAAGCATTGCCTTTATTGCCTCCCTCTCTTCTTTCTCCCCCCCCCACACGTATGCACCAGAGCAATTCCTAGTGCATGTGTACATAAAGGTCAGAGGTTGACTTTGGAGTTCTCCTCTGTCCCTCACTAAACTCTCATCTCATGGTTGGAGGTGCTCTGGTTGGCCACTCATCCATCCAAGACCCACCATTTCTGCCTTTGCTCCTAGGGCTGGGATTACAGATGTGCACCACCATGTCTGGCTTTATAGAGATGTTAGAGATCCAAATTCATATCCTCATGCTTGCAGAGCAAGTACATTGCCCAGTGACCCATATTCCCAGATTCCACATTTGTTTGGCATTTTTGTTTTTGTTTTTGACCATTTTTAATAGTTGGCACATGCCTAAAGAGTTTATCTTATCCCAGTCAGGATGGCTAAGATCGTGAGAACAACTAACAAGAAACATGGGTGAGGATGTGTGGAAAGAGGAACTCTCATTCACTGTAGGTGGGATTGTAAACTGGTGCAGCTACTATATAATTCAGTATGGAGATTCCCAAAAAAGCTAAAAATAGACCTACTATATATGACCCAGCTATATCCCCCCTTGGTATATCCCCAAAGGACTTATTGCTACAGATACTTGAGCAGCCATCCTCATTGCCACGCTATTCGTAATATACAGGAAATGGAAACAACCTAAATGCCTTTCAATTAATAAGTAGATGATGAAAATCTAGTGCATATACATAATGATTACTATTGAGCTGAAAAGAAAAAAAACGAAATCATAAAATTTGGAAATAAACAGATGGAACCAGAATACATACATAACCCAGACCTAGCCAGATAAACTCTGCATGTTCTCTCTCTTATTTGAGTGTCCTAGACCTGCACTTTTAGGTGTGATAACATAACTTGGAGTAACTGCATTCACCAGGAAAGTAAAAGGGGACCATGGGACAGTGGGCAGGGACTAGAAGGGAACTGCAGGACACAGGTGCTATGAAGGAGGAAAGGGGGAAAACATGGGGAAGAGAGGACAACACAGAAGGAAAAGAAGAAAACAGGGATAAATAATTTGAAAAGGCCATAGGG